TTATAAATTTTTAAACAATTCAAAATTTTTCAAGCTATAATAATTTTTTCTTCGCCTTCTGCTGAAAGTGAGAGAAAATCGCTAAAATATTAAGAGTCTAATAATGGTCCTTCGAGCCTTCGAAACCAACAATAAAGCCTTATTGCTTTAATATTGGTCCTACGAGCCGTTAAATGAAACTCAGTTAATTCATTTAAAGTTTCTATTTGAATACAGAAATGTTTAAAATTTAATATAAATTTTTATATAAATTTAAGGTTTTTCCAAACCACTGTATGCATGTTTTGGTTCTTAAGCTGTATGTAAAAACCAACTTTTCATGCCCACATTTAAATTAAAAACATATCTCAACTATCAAACATATATAAAATTACTACTGATATGTATAAATACTTTGTAAGAGTTTCTACCACAAAACTTAATTTGTACTTTATCTTTATAATAGAGTTTTTGTGGGAATTTTTTTTTTCTCAGAAATGTACAAAAATACCACAAACTTGTTGTTCCTAATAGTGGTTAAAGAAATTTGGAAATTTTAATTGAAGATATCAACAAAAGCAATTGATAAACACTTGACTTAGGAAATGGGGAAACAAAAATAAATTTTAAATATTATTTAACTAAAATAAAACAAATTTTCAAAATTTTCTTTAACAGTTAAAGTGGGTTTCCTTTAAGCTTATTTTAAAAGCTTTTTTAAAATAACTTCAAATCTAAAAAGCACATCAAACAAATCTTGTTAAAAAAAAAACAATTATTTATTTAATTTTTCTGTTACAGTTTCGATTTTTCAGTTTTGTTTTAATTTTTTTAAAAAACAAAATTTACTCATCATTATTTTGTGTTTTTTCTTTTTTTTTAATTTTGTTGCTATTTTCATATATATACACACACACACACACAAACTACTGACATTGAACTAGATACAAATGATTTTGTTTGTGATACAATTTAAAATATTTTTAAATATTTTCAAAATGTTTTTTAATTATTTTGTTTAGTGGTCAGTATTTAAGTTTAAAATGGAAAGTTAGTTTTTTTTTTATTTTCAATAACTTATTGTTGATTTTAGGCTATTGTTTGTTTGGTATTATTCAATTTTGTTTTGTTTTTTTTCTAAACATGTTTATTTTAAACTAATTATTAACTAATAACCGGAAATGTTGGAAATAATTATAATTTTTTTTTAAATATGTAAATATTGCTATAAGTTACTGATAGAAAATATAAATAATGTAAATATAAATATGATAATTTTGTTTTAATTATAATGGTCCTTCGAACTTTGCTTAGTTGCGATGAAGTTTTATTTAAAATTTTTACACATTTCATATAACTTTAGGAAAATGTTTACTGGATGACCAGGTTTAATATAGTTCTGAATAGTTGAAGCTAATTTTGTTTAATTTATAAATAAATGTGACAACTAAAGGTCCTACGAACCCAGAAAATTTGATTTAGTTCTTAAAGCTTTACTAATAGAAGTTCAAGAAAAAAAATTATTAAGCAATAAAATTGAAAATACTGTTTTACATGGTCCTACGAACCAGTAAAAATATATATCTTAAAAGCTTAAAGCTTTCATTGTAGCCAAGACTTTACCAAAGTTTTTGATTAGCTATAGACAATTTTTTTAAACAGATTCGTAGTATTTATGGTCCTGCGAGCTGTAATGATAACAATAAGAATATAGGATTCATAGTTTGTTGGTTTTCAATTCGATTTTTTCCAATTTCTTTACCATTTCTTATAGTATGACCTAATGTAATAACGATCAATAATTATCATAAACAACATTCGAAACTCGTCATCATTACGATCATCATCTGCGCCATATCACTGTCATTTAAACAGTAAAATGTTTCAAAAAAAATTAACTTTATTCCTAAAAAGTATAGAGAAATAAAATAAAGTCCAAAAAAAAAATCACAAAATAAAAACCCATCAAGATGATCTAACACATGTATTAAATATAAATGACTACATGTTACTTAACAAATACATACTACATGTGTATAGTTTATAGTATAACATCGATACAACACCGTTACTTATACAACGATACAAATAGAGTATTATACACAGATACTCTATAGCCTACAACTACTACAAACATGTGCAATCATCATACTCTCATCATTTTTGTTTGATTATAAATACGGCAAAATGGAAAAAAAAGTTGAGAAAAAAACAAACTGATACTGAGAAAAAGAATACAAACCAAACATCATTCAATATTAATATATACACACACACACACTAATCGGTCGGTAGAAATGTAAAATTTTAACCCATTAAGGGGTGTTAAGAATGCTTAATTTCCTCTCAATGTCTTAACAGAACCAAGTCAAGAGTTTGTTGATCATCTGCTTATATGTCTTTCTGACACTTATTGTTTATAAAACTGTAGCTTTAACTGATTTGGAGCACCAGAGAGCTTTTTGCCTACGTCTGATCTAAAGTTGTCACACGTTTTCTATACAATTGATTACTTGCTGATTTGTTCGTGCTGACTTGTCAGCAGAGCCAAATTCTGAATATAGCTTATTTATTTTTCATAATTTAAAGTTGGCCTTTAGTGGGTTAAATTCAAATATGAATTGGTTGTTTAGTTATTGATATTTAAAGCAATTTCTGTGGTAGTTAAAGGTAGTTTCCTTGTTTAAATAACAAATTGTTTGATGAGTTCTGAAGAAAAAAACATTTCACAATTTTAAAAAATAAATTATTTACTTTATAAAGAAATTCTGAAAAAAATTTAAAAGAAGCAAATACTCATTAAATTGTTCTTTGCTTCTTAAGCAGCTAAAAACTGCATGAGTTCAAAACTCTTAAAACAATGTTGCTAAAAGATATCTAAATGGTCCTTCGCTACTAAAGCAGCTAAAAACTGATTCATCAGAGTTAATAGCCGAGTATGAGCAGGGCGATTTTGTTCATTTTGTTTAAAAAAAAGGTCTATTAGACTTTGAATTTACTATAAAGAAAATTTTATTTTTATTTTTATATAATTAATGAACTTTCAATATGGTCCTTCGGCTCTTCTAAAAAGAGTAAATGCCAAATTTCGGTTTTCTTTTTTGCTTTTGCAGACAATAATTTAAGTTTGCTTCTGAATTTTCAGTTTTTTAATGTGGGTTCTTCAAATATATTCAAAATTTTATTTAATAGTTATGGTCCTTCGAACCTATTTAAAACATTTTCTTTAAAATTAAGCTCATGAATTAAACAATTTCTTTAAAAAGTTAGCTTATTTTCAATTAACATCAAAATTTTCATACTTTTTATATGGTCCTTCGAATTTATTCAAAAATAGTCCTTCGAACCTTCGGAAGCTCATTGTGGTCCTTCTAAATATAAATTATGCTAAATTTCTGGCTATTTTTAGCCGTTTCAGGCAATAATTGAAGTTCACATACAAGTTTTTACTCTTTTAATATGGTCCTGGGGAACTACTTAGAATTCTAACTAATTTATTATGGTCCTTCGAACCTATTGAAAGAATTTTATATAAATTTTGTAAAACCTCGAGCTTATTGAAATAATCCATAAGTAAATACTGTTAGCAAATGGTTATTTTAAATTAACAGCAAAGTTTTCACACTTTTTATATGGTCCTACGAACCGCTATTTATACAGCTGCCGTGTTCTTAAGATTTGAATAGAATACAGAACTTTAAGGAAAGAGAATTTGGAAAGGAAAGAGAATTTGGACTTCTAGCCATCAATTAATTTAACTGAACGCTAAACTTAATTTCGATATTTCTTTAAAATTTTCTTAAATACGGGCGCGAAGGACCATTTAACACAAGTTATTTTAAATCAATTAAATACAATATTTCGAACAAAATGCGGGACCTTTTTTTAGAATATTTTATAATGTGGCTCTAAAAGCTATATTTTATACTATTTAACACTCCACTTACTACACATTTAATTACATCTCTGTAAATAGACTTTAAACAGCGATTAAAATCAAGTTTAAATAGTTTTATAGATTTTTTCAATTTTAAGGGTCAATACACAAAACAACTGAAATAAAACACTTGTTTTCAAAACCCGGTTGCAGTCTACTAATTCCAATTATATTCAAATTTATTCTAAAAAATCAAATTATATATTTATTCCTTTTATTTAAACAACAAATACACATAGAGTTTATAGCATGAGTTTAATAATTATAATAAATTTTATATAGACTATAGAGACCTATTGATAATGATGATTATATGGATGATTGTGATGATGACATTCTCATTTAATAATTTATTTAAAAACCAATAAAATAATTAAAATAAAAAAAAGAACAACAAAACAAATAAAAATTGTTGTTGTCAATCTAACAAAAAAACCGCACTCAAAATTTTAAACACATACTTAGGTAAATACACATACATACACTCATAGCTACTTTTATATATATTAGTTAAACAACAAAAAACAAACTGGCTGTACAACAAAGAGTATTTGAAATAAAATTTTTTAAAAAATTAAAAAACAAACTAGTTGTTGTTGTAGCTTAAAGGGAAGAACACACACAGAAAAATTAAGTTGTAAAAAATTTAAAAAAAATACATTTATTTCATTTTTAAAAACAAACTAAATTTTAAATTTGCATAAACTATTTTTAAAAAAGGGGATTTTTAAGTTTATGCCATTGGCTAGAATTGAAAGCTGAAATGATCCAAAAAAAAGTTTACAAAAGCTCAAAGAAATATTTTTGAAATTTATGTTTAAAAATTTAAAAAAGCTTTAATAAGTTTTTAACAAACACAACTTTTCTTTCAAATTATAAGAAGATAAGAGTTACAAATTTTATTTAGTTTTCTTCTAACAAAGCTTTTTGATAAAAAAAACTTTTTTTTGCCTACTAAGTGATTTTACACAATTTAGTGTTTTAAAGTTATGAAAACTTTAGGGTTTTTATATAGAACATACAAAAAAAACTAAATACTATTATCATACTTATTTGTTTGTTTTTTTATATATTTTTAATCTAGAAACATTTCCACAAATGTATTAATTAAACAAATATTAAAAAAAAAATAAACTAAAATTAAACAAAAAAACTAAAACCTAATAAAACTTGAATGTGATAAAAACTAAGAGAAAAAAAATAAATTTATTAAAGAAAAAAACAATGTTGTGATATAAACTTAAAACAAAACAAAAAAAAGCTAAAAACATCGACAACATTTAAATTTAACAAAAATACTTTAAAACAAACTCTTCACTTAAACAGAATAAAAACTAAAGAATAGACATGTAATAAGTGTTTTAAAATAATTAAAAAAAAAAAAAAACTAAACCAAGGATCTCTCTACATCTCGCTCACGCTCAGTGCTAAACGACATCAGAAAGGAAATATTTCATCTTTCCCTCATCTTTAAACAAAATACTAAAAGGATTCACAACACATGTGCTACTTGGCAAGAAATTGAAATTTAAAAAAAAATCAAATTAAAGTTTAATTTGTAAAAAAATAAAAATTGCTGTCTACTTAAAGTACTGCAAAGAAACTGTAAAGTTTGTGTAGTATTTAAATCGCTTAAATAGGAGAAACACGGTAATTGTTTTTATGTAAAATATTTAATTAAATGTTTACAAAAAAATTACATTCAAATTTGCAAAACAAATCAAAATTCATCAACATAATCTTACATATAAATGTAAACTATATTTAAAAAAAAAAAAATTTATCTAAATGGATGTTGTGTGGTGTATCATCATTTAATTTATTGATCAAACTTTTTTGTTTAATTAAAAAAACCAATTAAAAACGTTACATTGTTGCGCCCTTCATCTTTTACATATGAGATATATATATTCATCTTATTGTTTTTTTTTATATAAAAAATATATATCAAAAGAAAGCTAAACGTTGTTCATCATTTAATAATCATCAGCCAACAAAATTTTATTTAAAACATACTTATCAAAAGCTGTTAACAGGTTTTTTTTAACACTCAATTTAAAACTTCAAAAAAAACTCATCATCAAAAAGCACTTCTTAAGAATATATCAAAAAGAATTGTTTTAAAAATTTTTTTGGTAACAAAAATATATCAAAAAAAATTTTGCTGCTGCTGTTGCTATTTACATAAATATAAAATATATATCTCTATATCTATTATCGAATATATATTATAAATATATTTCATATTGTCGTTGTTGTTGTTGTCGCCTAAATAATAATAATAATATTAAAATAAAATCCACCACACCACTCTACTACTACTTACCACCAAACCACCACCACCAAAAAAAAAAAATACCACCACAAAATAAATCTCAAATATTTTAAAAAAATATCAACATCACTTCTTTAAAATAACTCTATATTTTATTAAAAAAAGCAACAAAAAAAATCTTTCAAAAACACTTCATCATTAACTTTTAATAAAAAAAAGAAATCTTGTCATCAACATTGTTTATAAACAAAAATCGACTCAACATTTTCAAGCAACACTCAGAAAAAATTAAACAAATTCTTATTCCAAAATAAAAATTTAACTAATTCTTTTTTATCTTTCTTTTTATGTTCAAATATTAAAAAAAAACAAACAAAAAAACAACATTGTTTATAAACAAAAATCGACTCAACATTTTCAAGCAACACTCAGAAAAAATTAAACAAATTCTTATTCCAAAATAAAAATTTAACTAATTCTTTTTTATCTTTCTTTTTATGTTCAAATATTAAAAAAAAACAAACAAAATCTTTTTTAATAAAAAATTGGCCTAATAAACAAAAATCGACTCAACATTTTCAAGCAACACTCAGAAAAAATTAAACAAATTCTTATTCCAAAATAAAAATTTAACTAATTCTTTTTTATCTTTCTTTTTATGTTCAAATATTAAAAAAAAACAAACAAAATCTTTTTTAATAAAAAATTGGCCTAAAATACAAAAAAACAAATCAAAAACCAAACTTATGCTCTAAAACTAAAATCAAAATAAATTGAATACCTCACAGCAACAAATGTTGATAAGCAATGTTTATAAACAAACCTAAAGTTAAGCAGCAATGAAACAAATTTGAAAGTAATCTAAACAAAGGAATACTTTTACTCACCAAATACGTCCAAGCCACAAATTTATATCTATCTATATATATATATATTATAAGGAAACAAAAAATTAAGACTGAAAGTTAAAAAAGGGAAAATTAAAATTTTATTTCACAATTAATTGAGTTGAGAGTTGTGTAAAAGAGGAAATGTCACAAATGAATACATTAACGGAAAGTTTAATGTCCAATGCATTTGATTTGATGGGAGGTTCAACCATGGCTCAACAGTTTCTGGAACATATGGATCTGTATACACAAAGGCAACAACAACAGCAGCAGCAACATCAGCAACAACAGCAACAGTATACAATGGCCAGCAATCTAACAGAAACACAGCAGCAGCAACAATTTATTAATAATAACAATAATAATAATAATAATAGTACGCAGAACGCATCACAACAAATTGATTTTTTATTTAATCATCAAACGCATACGCAACAATCATCAGCGGATTCCTCAGCTTCTTCCTCGCCCACCAGTCAATTACTGCAACATATGTATAAACAACAACAGCAACAACAACAACAACATTCAACATCTTCCTCACCTTTAATGTTAATGAAACAACAACAACAGCAGCAACAATTTGATAATCATCAACATTATACGCAACATCATCAGCAACAGCATCATCACCAACAACAACAACAACAACAACACCAGCAACATTCCTTAAGAACATCTCCTACCAACAACTTAGAAAATAATATTTATAATACCTCACAGCATTTATTAAATTTAAATATACAGATGGATTCCTCAACTACATCACTACAACAGCAACAACAATCAACACAAAATCTAGTTAAGAATAACACAACAACAACCACAGCAGCAGCAACTACTACTAGCAATCTTAACAACAATCTTAACAATAACAATTTAACTAACACAACAACCACAAACAATAATACGAATGGTAGCAATATGACTTCATCACCACCCACAACAACTTCTTCGTCGTCCTCATCATCCACGGTTATCTCAACCACTACTCAACAGCAACAACAACAACAGCAGCAGCAACAAACAACGCCTCATCAGCATCAGCCACATGCGCAACATCCACATCAACATCAGCATCAACATGCTGCTGGCACAACTTCTCCTTATAAATCCTGTTGGTGTTATGGTGAGTTAAACAAAAAATCAATCAAAAATGATTTACAAAAAATAATAATAACGCAAACGTAACAAAAAACCAATACATATGTCTTATATGCAACATTATATATCTCTCTCTCAAATCTCTCTCTTCAATCAACCACCATCAAACATCACCAACAAAAAGCATACGTTCAACCAAACAATTAAAAAAAAAACTCATCATCAACATCTACTACTTCAGCATCATCATCAAAAAATTTACCAAAAAAAAGCAAATAAGCAACTCAAGCAATTTAATTTAAATAATTTATAAATATTAAAAGTTTAAACAAAATCATTTAAATAATTATTTATCAAACAGCAACATTTGTGGGAAGGTTTTTTTTGTTTGTTTCTTCAAAGGATTTTAAATATAATTTTTCTCATTACTCATACGCTCACGAGCACTTTTTTAAAAATTAATATCAATCATACGCTTAGTGTATGTTGTTTTTTTTTTTGTATTTATATGTATCTGTCAGTCAGTCAGTGTGTGTGTGTATTTTATTTAAATTGTGATTTATGTTTTTTTATATATTTGTTTAACAAAAGTGTATAATTAATTTAAAGATTAGTTTTACTTTATGTTTAATTGTTTTTTAGAGTTTTCTTATTTTGTCAGTATTTGAAATGTTTCACAACATTTTTTTCTTCATTATTTTGTTATTAATTTGAGAATCTAGCAACATGTTGTCATTTAACATTTTGACTCTTCTTTTTATTGCTATACATATTTAATTTGCTAATTTTAAGCTTTAGATTTTAGTTACTAAACCATAAAAGCTTTAAGGGAATTCTTTTAAAATTTTACATTTTGTGTAAAATTATACATTTTGTGTAAGATATTAGTTTTGTTTAAAATATTACATTTTGTGTAGAATTCTACATCAATTGTGTAAAATTATGGATTGTGTGTAAAATTTTACGTTTTGTGTAAAATTACACATTTTATATTGAATTTTTTTTTTGTAATTTCTAAAAATTTTAAATTTAATATCAAATTTAAAATATTTTTTCGTTTTGTGTAAAATTTTACATTTGGCGTAAAATATTGTGTAAAATTTTACATTTTGAGTAGAATTGTTCATTTGTGTAAAATTCTGCATTTTGTGTAAAATTTTACAATTTGTGTAAAATTACACATATTTTAAAATTAACTTATTGTTTCACAAAATCTTACATTTTACATTATAATTTATATTTTGTGTAAAATTGTACATTTTCTATCAAATTACACAGTTTGTGTAAAATTTGATGTAAATCTTTGTTATTGTAAAATATAATGTTTTCTGTAAAATGTATATAGAATTTTAAATTTTGTGTTAAATTACACATTTTGTGTAAAATTACACATTTTCTGTAAAATTACACATTTTGTGTAAAATTACTCATTTAGTGTAAAATTACACATTTTGTGTAAAATTACACATTTTGTCTAAAATTACTCATTATGTGTAAAATTACTCATTTAGTGTAATATTTTACATTTTGTAAAATTCTACTTATTCTGGCAAATTACACATTTACATTTTGTGTAAAATATTATATTAAAATTATACATTTTATATTAAAATTTACGATTTTGTTAAAAATTTAAATTTGATATAAATCTTTCTTCTTGTAAAATGTGAAGTTTCATGTAAAATTACACAAATTAACACATTTTGTATAAAATTTTACATTCCGTGTAAAATTCTGCATTTTACATTAAAGTATTAAAGTTTAAATTTAAAGTAAATCTTTCTTTTGTAAAATGTAAAGTTTTGTGTAAAATTTTACTTTTTGCGAAAAATTTACTGTCAATTTACACAAAATTGTCAAATTACAATAAATTTTTGCATTATTTATAAAATTCAGCATTTTCCTTTTTATTAAACATTTTGTGTAAAATTTTACACTTTATATCTAAATTTACATTTTGCTAAATTACACATTTTTATCTAAAATTTATCATTTTATTAAAATTTAACATTTTGTTAAAATTTTTAAATTTGATATAAATAATTTTTTGTGTAAAATGTTAAGTTTTGTGTAAAATTACACATTATGTGTCAAATTACACATTTTGTGTCAAATTACACATTTTGTGTAAAATTACACATTTTGTGTAAAATTACACATTTTCTGTAAAATTACAACTTTTGTGTAAAATTACACATTTTGTGTAAAATTTTATATTTTGTGTAAAATTTAAAAATTTTAACAATTAACTTTTTACTTACAATACTCGGAATATTTTTCAAATAATTCCGATTAAATATTACTCATACGCAGCATTGGACTTTGAAATTTTTCACAACACACACCTTGAAATTCTAAAAATATGAAATTTATAATAAAAGAATTTAAGTACTTTAAATACTAAAAATAGCATTTGTTTTAAACAAATTGAAAATAATTCTATGCATGAAATTTTCAAAATTTTCTTAACAAAAACAACAAAACTAATATACGTACATACATATGAATGTATGTATGTACAAAGTGCTGAAAGTTGGCTGTTATACATAAATCATTAAAATGGCTTTGGCAACAAAAGTTTTGTTTATTTTTCAATAAAATTTATTTTTATTAGTTTAAGCAAACAAACTGAAACGAAAAATAAAATAAAAATAATATTTCTCTATGCAGTTTAAAAATACCTTTTGATTTCGAAATGATTTGTAGCCTTCATGTCTGGTTTTAGAAAGAAATCTGAAAAAAAACAAATGAAAATTTAAGAAATATAACTAAAGTAAGCATAAAATTAAAAATATTGCTAAATTTATGAAATTTTAAAAATAATAATTTCTTATTTATTGTGTTATATACATATATATATATATATATATATATATATATATATATATATATATATATATATATATATATATATAACTGAAATCTCATTTTTATTGAAATAATGCAAGAATTTCCTTTAAAACCTTTTAAAAACTTAATCTCTAATATTTTATTCATTAATTCCTTTCATTTTGCTTTTTGTAAGCATTTTATTTCTCATTAATTTGCCAACAATTCTATGCCCCCAAAAGTATTTGAAATTCAGTTTTTTTATATATAGAACCACATGGCGTATGAGTATTAAAATATTTAATAAGGTTGTTTAACGACAATGAAAAATACTACACATGGAAAAACTTTTAACACACTGTCAAACATATTCCTTGTTTGTTTGCTTACACAAACACTCTTACTTAATATACATAGCTATGGCCCAGTTTTAAGTGCTACAGAAGGAGGCAAATGAAAGCAAATTTTTAGGGACCAAGTCTCTCTTCATTTATAAAATTTTGTGCTTACTAAAACAGTATTTTTTTTTGTGGCATAAACATACATGACATACTTACAGAGTTTCTTTAATACTACATACATACTTACTTTTTAGATTCATATTGTTAAACGAAATTAAAAAAAAAAAAACGAAGGAAATATTAGGCAAGTTTTTTTTTATGTGTGTAATTAAAAAGGAACTCAATAGGTTTGTAAATTATACGAGAAAAGTACCATTTATGTCATAGAATTTTGTATAAGAAAGTTTGTATAGAAAATTTTTTGTTCAAGTATTACATTTTTCTAAATTACTAGCATAACCTCAAAACATAGTTTTGTTTAATTGTTTTAAATTTCCATAAATGGTGGTAATGATTTCAGGAATAAATTCGGGGAAATTTATTAAATACTTGGTACTTAATTATATTGAAATAACAAAAAGTACCAGCAAATTGTATCAGTGGTAGTTTAAAAGAATATCCTGTAAATTAAGCCATGTTTTGAGTACCAGGGTTCTGAAAAGTACCAATCCCCAGTTCGCCTACATAAGTATGTAGAAGAATAAAATACTAACTCTTTTGTGTACAAAACTGTTTTTGTAGAAATAAAAGTACTTACTATAAAAGTACTAATATAAAAAGTACCAAAAGTACTTTCGTAATTCTACATTAGCTGGAATTATAAAAAGATTCAGCTTAATTATTCAATTATTGTTCCAGAAAGTACCAAAGTACCATTTCATAATTGTTGAAAAGTGGGGGAAAATTCAGTATTAAGTAATATTTTATCCCCTTTTGGTAAAGTAAAAAGTACTTTATTATAAAATTAAGCACTTTATTTAAAATTTATCATCTGGGAAAAACTTTAACATTTGTGTAAAATATTACAATTTGTGTAAATTTGCAATTTTGTTTAAATTAATCAATTTTATGTTAAATTTTATATTTACATTTTGTGTAAAATTTTACATTTTGTATAAAATTTTACATTTTGTGTAAAATTTTACATTTAGTGTAAAATTTACATTTTGTGTAATATTTGGAGTATAATTTTACTTTTTGTGTAAATTTTTACATTTAATATAAAATTTTATGTTTTGTGTAAAATTTTACATATTGTGTAAATTTTACATTTTGTGTAAAATTTTTCGTTTTGTGTAATATTTTACATTTGATGCAAATTTTTAATTTAGTGTAAAAATTTATATTTGGTGCAAAATTTTATATTTTGTGTAAAATTTTACATTTTGTGTATAATTTTACATTTTGTGTAAAATTTTACATATTGTGTAAATTTGTAATTTTGTGTAAAATTTTTAACTTTGTGTAAAATTTTACATTTTGTGTAAAATTTTACATTTGGAGTAAAATTTTACATTTTGTGTAAGATTTTTCATTTTATGCAAAGTTTTCATTTAGTGTAAAATTATATATTTAGTGTAAAATTTTATATTTTGTGTAAAATTTAATAATCATTGTAAAATTTTGCATTTAGTATAAAATTTTATATTTTGTGTAAAATTTTGCATTTGGTGTAAAATTTTATGCATTAATCTATTGTGTAAAATTTTTACATTTGGTGTAAATTTTAAATTCTGTGTAAAATTTTAAATTTTGTGTAAAGTTCTACATTTTGTGTAAAATTCCACATTTTGTGTAAAATTTTACATTTTGTGTTAAAATTTATATATTGTATAAATTTTTAATTTGTGTAAAATTCTACATTTTGTGTAAAATCCTACATTTTGTGTAAAATTTTACATTTAGCATCAAACATTATTTCATTTTTTTTGTTAAATAACACAATTTCTCTAAACATAAAAACTTGAGTTTTATGATTCCACAACAGGTTTGGTACTTATAGGGCCATAATGCTAAATATGGAATTGATAAGTGAAATAAGATATTTTAAGAGCCACGATGTCCATTTAAACACTTTTAATTCCATTTCACATTAATACCATTTTATTGTCAAATCTTTACCAAAACTGTATTAAGTATTTTCATTTCACATAATATTTCAAATTAATTTAATTTAAAATCATTTTATAAGCTTTTTTTTTATAACCTTCATAAATATTTATATAATTTAGAGACAACATAAAATGACAAATTTATGGCAATTTTTAATGAAAAAACTCTTTTTGGACAAACCTAAACACACTTTATCATCTTTATGCCAATAAAAAGGCAAAAAATACAAATTCTTCATTCTACAACGAAGAAAAAATAAATCAAAGAGAGGTGCCCAGTTTAGCATAAAAAATGTATTTTTTATTTGTAGCAAAATTTCTAATAGAACACGTATTTTAAAAATATAACACATGTTTTTTGTTTTAAATTATATTCTAGTTTTGTTTTCTATAGTTTTTTTGGTTCTTTCATTCTTCTGTCTGCCTAATGATCTATTTTAATTTATGAATATTCTATTTAATTCTATTTTAGTATTTTTCAATATGTGTGTTTTTAGTTTTGAAATTTGGTATTTTTCCCTCTCTTTTGTTTAGATTTTGTGTGTTTTTTTTAGTTTTATTCAAAGTGTGCAAATGTTGCCACATTCTATTTGAATTCGTGTTATTTCTAACACTGATGCATGACTCAATTTGTTGTATATGTATCTATGTTTTCAATGTTTTTTTCCTCTATAGATACATGTTTTTTTTTTAGATTCTTTTTTTGATTTGTAAGCATTTTGTAAATTCTAAGCGTGTGAAAGCAATGTCATCATCATCTCATTTCTATCTATGCAATTTGTAAAGCGTTTTTATTTCTATTTGTTCTTCTTTCTCTCCTCTTCATCAGTTCATACATGAAAATGAAAATTTAGTTCACACAAAGTTTCTAATTAAAGTCTAACGACAAATAAAGTATAAAAACATAGTATGTATTTATTTAAACGAAAAAAGAAAACCAAACATACTCTACATATTTTTGAAGGACACTTTAAACATTTTGTAAGAGAAATAAGATAAAATATATTATCGTAAAAAGCAAAAGTGTATGTTGTAAGAAAAAAATAAAAGAACTAAGAAAAAAACTGAAAAAAAATTACGCTGAAGGCTTAGGTAGAATTGTTTATAACTTGTTGTTATACAACTTTTGCTTTCTTTTTAAAAGTCAGCAAAATTTTCTAGTAATGTAATAAGAAAATATGTGAAAAATAAAAAGTACAAAGTAATAGCAGTAATAAACAAATATCAGCTTTTATTCTTATTTATCATTTATTAAGGATTAAGCTTCTTTTTCTTAATTGAGCTTTTTTATCGATTCTTTTAAAAATGTTCATATTATAACATAAATTTGCCTTGATTAAAATTTCTAGTATATAAAGTACTAGTGTTCGCAAAGTCTTTTAAAAAGCTTATATTAACGTTACTCTTAAAAGCTTCAGAAAGTCTTAGAAAATACTCTACTCTGTGAGTATTTAATGAAAGATTTAAAGCTTTTAAATACAACGTTGTATAACAAAAGCTTTAGGCTTCAAAAATAACATTTCTTTAATATTTCTTATGAAAATCGTTTAATATTTCTTAAAAATTCTAACAAAAGCTTTAAGATTGTTATTAAAAGCTTCAAAAATTTCCACATAAGCTTTAAAATTAATTTCATTGATGAGTAATTTTGTTATATTTTTAATACAAAACTTTACGTTTAAAGCTTTAAATAAACTTAATAATTTTTTATAAAGCTTTTAACTTTTAAGATTAAGTTTTGTTGATTATAAACAGCACTTCTTTAAAGTTTTAATACTAAACTTTCAGTTTACGGCTTAAAATAAATTTAATAAAAAAGCTTTAAGATTGTTAGTAAAAGCTTCAGTATTTTTCACATAAGCTTTAAGTTTTAATTTCATTGATGAGAACACGTCTTTATAGTTTTAATACAAAGCTTTAAGTTAAATAAACTTAATAAAATTTTTCTGAAGCTTTTAAGTTTTGTTAATTGTAAACAACACTTTATTAAAGTTTTAATACAAAGCTTTAAGTTTAAGGCTTTAAATAAACCTAATAAAATTTTTATTTTAATGTTTATTTGAAAAAAGCTTTGAAGTTTACAGCTTTTAATAATTAAATTCAAGTTTTGTTGTTGGTAAAGAATACTTCATTACAGTTTTAATATAAAGCTTTCAGTTCAAAGGTTTAAATAAACTTAATAAAGTTTTTATGAAACTAAAAAGATTTTGAGCACAAAACAGCTAAAATGTAAAAAAAAAAAAAATTATTGATTGTTAAGAACACTTCTTAATACAAAGCTTTAAATAAACTTAATAAAGTTTTTACATTTTACAGGGAGTTCTTTAAAGTTTACAGCTTTCAACTTTATATATATAATAATTTGTTAAGGAAAACTTTAAAAACTTAAGCTTTAGTAAAAGCCAAAACTTCAATAAATTTAATACTATTAATTCTATTAGTAGAGTGCTTATGACTTGGGTTTAGCATTAAAAAACGTATCTAGCACACATATGAGGCCTAGTATTATAGATTCTTTTTCCTGTAAACTTTTTCTTTCTTTTATTCAAATTTGCTTTTGTTGTTGTTGTTGTTCTTCATAAAGGAAGATAAACAATGCTTATATATTTAAGTATAGAAATGTTATATGAACATAAAGACAAATAACTTTGTGTAAAAGAAAAGCTCTATTTTAACGGCCTTAGGCTAAACATTTAATATTTGTAATATTTAGCTAAGCTTTTACTTAAAATCAAATGTTTTTGAATGGTTAAACATTATTTTCACAAGTTTCTTAAATTTAAATAACTGGGATAGCATTCTTAATTGTTCATTACAAGGGGTCAAATGTCAGCAAGTTGTAGTCATAAAACTTTAACATATTTCTAAAAGCTTTTATACTTTTTATAGCTTTTTTAAAGGAATAGTTAAATAGCTTGTAATCAAGTTACAATTTGCAATAAAGCTTTTTTAAACAGCCCGTTAAAAGTGTATTAAGTGTACTTTTAGTTTTTTTAAAGAAATGTTTGAACAAACTCATATCAACTATATTTTCTATTTACAATTAATGTCACAAGGTTGCATATAGTTGTATATATGTCACACACACAGTGAAACTTATACATTTACATATCATTCTCATATACAAGATATAATATTTAATAGATTGTTGTAGTCATATATTGTTTGCCTTTGAGGTCTTGTTTTGTTTTCACTCTCTCAATGTTTTTTCTTTATTTATTTAAAAATTCTCGTTTTTTTCTTGTTCTCTGTAGTTTACAACAATAATAATCAGATATTGATGTTTTTTCAAGTGTACTTACATACATACAAATGTATATATGTATGTATGCCCAAGTATCTGTGTGTGGTGTGGGTTATATTTGAGTGTATCTATACGAGAGAATTGTAACATTTAATCAGGTGCATAACAAAATGCGTTATTGCTGTCATGTCATCATAATAAAATGTGTTGTCAATGTTTAGTCATATATTTTTTTTTAATTTGTGTTGTTGTCATGTTTTTGTATATCATAATGTCAGAGTATAGTATACAAGTTTGAGAATAGATGAGAATAGTTGTTGTTGTTATTGTTATTAAGTATCGAGAAGAGTACGGTTACGTAATAGGCCATCTCCGTTTGACACAAATATTAATTGAATGTATGTTTTTTCCGTATGATACTTTTTTAATACATAGTAGTTTTTATAAGCAGGAATTTACGAGGTAGGTTGAGAAAGTCTTTTAAAGGTTAGGTCTTAAAGAAGTTACTTAGAGCTTTTTAAAGCTGTCTGCCAACTATTTCTTAATATAATTCGTCATTTTTTTATCGTATAAAGTTTTTTAGACTTTCTTTGTTATTATTTCAATAAATGCCTAAAAGTATACTAGGTTTTTTGAGAAATTTAGAAAATCAGTTGTAGGAATATTCTGAAATTGTGAAATTTTTTTATTTTTTTCAGAATTTAAACTTATTACTAAAAACACATTAATAAAACTTTAAATATTTTGTTAGACATTGTTTTTAAAACCTTGTTAAATTATTAATATGTATTTTCCTTGTTTCTTTAATATAAAATAATAGAAAATATTGTTGTTGGTATTTTTTTCCTAAAGAAACACACACTCATAATTATTTTCATATTTTCATTTAATTAATAATATTTTTTGCATTTATCATTACAATCATAATGAGAGCTTTTCATTATTTATCTTTTTATCTTTAGTTCTTCATAATTATTTTTCTCTTTTGTTTAAATATTGATTAAAAAAAAAACATTTCTTTTATTATAATTATACAATATACATTTAAATATAAACTAATAATAATTTTCTTTTTGTATTTTTTTTTTCTCTTTCTCCTTTTCCCCCCTTAAAACACAAAACAAAAATATTATAAATTAAATTTATAAAAACGTGGCATTGTTTTTATTATTATGTATGCTGCCCCATTTCGTTGTCCATGTTTTTATCTATTTCTAGGTGAGTCTGTTTGTTCTGGATTAGAGGTTGAAATTGAAAATAATAACAATAATTATCATCATGGTAAGCTTTTCTCATTGTTTCATAAATGTCATTATAAAAGTTCATAATTTTGTTGTTTTTTGAAAAAAAAAGAAATTTTTTTTTAATGATTTTGTTTTTTGGTTTTAATTCTTTGTTTAATTTTTATATACTAATTGATTTTTATAAATATGTTTCTTTTTTTTAATAATTTATTAAAATTGTTAATGTTTATTTAAACAGTAAAGAAATGCATGAAAAAAAACTATTTTCAGTAATTGTTCCCTATTAACTAACTAAAAACTATTTCAAACTTTTTTAAAAAAGCTTTTTAACTAATTTAAATCATATATGTAATGATAACAACTTTTTACTTTCTGCATTACTTAGTAATGTTTAATAGTTATTGAAAAGCTTTTAAAGCTTTTAAACAAGTTTCTTGTTCTACACATTTAAAGGGATAATTTCAAACCCTAAGAAATGTTATTGCTGCTATATATAAATCAATTACCAAACCCCCAATTTTCTTTATAATAAAGACTTTTTTCCCTACCCCCGTTTTATCTTAGCATTCAACCATTTTACAAAGCTTTAAAGCTTTATTCCTTTTTCGTAATATATTTTGTGTACAAAAAAAGGTTTCACTATTAAGTTTTTCTTATTATTTTCCTTACAATTTTATCACAAATCAACAACTAGTCCAAGGTAAATGTTGTGCACTCATAAAATTTCTCAAAAAAATTCATTAAGCATTTCATAAATTTTGAATTTAAAAAAAAAAATGCATCTCATTTCGCAAATTATCATATCTACCATTTAGAGTGTTAAATGTAACTAAATGTTAAAATAATAACCATAGATTCAAATGCAAAAATTCATAATTCATTAAAAGCAAAAAATCAAAAAATAACATAATGAAGAAATAAAATGTTATTATTTTTAATTTTCGAACCTAATAATTAAAAAAACAACAACAACTATATTAAATTTATAAAATAAAATAAAATATATGTTTTTAACTTTATTAATTATAATTCATTTTAAAATTATTTTAGGTGATTCAACCTATCACATGAAGATCTTAGTGCCAGCAGTGGCCTCCGGTGCCATCATAGGCAAAGGAGGCGAGACCATAGCCTCTTTACAAAAAGATACCGGTGCTCGTGTTAAAATGTCCAAATCACATGATTTCTATCCAGGTTAGTAGTTATTGAAATTTTCTTTAAAAAAAAAGAAAAAGAAATTTAAATTTATTCTCTTAACCACAGGTACTACCGAACGTGTGTGTCTTATAACCGGCACGGTGGAAGGCATTATGACTGTACTCGATTTCATTATGGACAAAATCCGCGAAAAACCCGATTTGAATACAAAAATCTTGGATGCCGAAAACAAACAGAGCCAAGAACGTGATAAACAAGTGAAAATTTTGGTGCCCAATTCCACCGCTGGCATGATCATTGGCAAGGGTGGTGCTTACATTAAGCAGATCAAAGAGGAAAGTGGTTCTTATGTACAGATTAGCCAAAAGCCCAAGGATATTTCATTGCAAGAACGTTGCATTACCATCATTGGCGACAAGGAGAACAATAAAAATGCCTGCAAAATGATCTTATCGAAAATAGTGGAAGATCCTCAGTCGGGCACTTGTTTGAATGTGTCGTATGCTGATGTTAGTGGGCCGGTGGCAAATTTCAATCCTACCGGTTCGCCATATGCCACCAATCAGAATGCTATTAATTCGAGTACCGCCTCGTTGAATTCAACTCTGGGTACGACAATTGGTGGTGCCGCTTCGGCAGCTGGTCTACTAGTCAATGGTACGGGCATTAATTTGTCCTTGAATTTGAGCACACCAAATCCAGCACCAAATCTAGCATTGGCCACACAGTTATTGGAACATATTAAGGTGAGTGAGAGAGAAAGAAAGAAAAATTATTTGAATTTTTTGTTAAATAAGCTTGTGGAATCATTCATGTAATTTCAAAATTAAGTTCGAATTTTCGAAGTGAAGTTTTAATTTACGAAACTTTGAAATTAAGTTTGAATCTCTTTTAAAACGTTAATTATATATAAATGAAATAAACTAGAAAAAAGTTTATATTTTTAAAAAGTTGAAAAAACTTTTGTTCTACCATTTTTCACAATTTGCTTCAAATATGGTATTTTTCTTAAAAATATCTTAAATATCAATATGGCTACAAATCGGTGGCAATAGTTTTTTATTAACTGTTTTTAAACCGTTAATAAAATGTGAATAAAAAATTTAACACTAATTCAATATTTTCAAAAAGTTGAAAAAACTTTTGTTCTACCATTTTCCACTATTAGCTTTAAATTTGGTATTTTCCTTAAAAATATGTTAAACTGCAGTATTGATTACTAATTACTGGAAACAGTTTTTCATTACTGGTTTTTAAACCGTTATTAAATGTAAACTGAAAACTTAACACAAATTCAATATTTTCAAAAAGTTGAAAAAACTTTTGTTCTACCATTTTTCACAATTTGCTTTAAATTTGGTATTTTTCTTAAAAATATGTTAAACTGCAATATTGTGAACAAATTAGTGGAAAAAGCTTTTTAATATCGGTAACTAAACCTTTAATAAAATGTAAATAAAAAACTCAACACAAATTCAATATTTTCAAAAAGTTTAAAAAACTTTTGTTCTACCATTTTTCACAATTTGCTTTAAATTTGGTATTTTTCTTAAAAATCTGTTAAACTGCAATATTGTGTACAAATTAGTGGAAAATGTTTTTCATTATCGGTTTTTAAACCATTAATAAAATGTAAATTTTAGAACTCCATAAAAATTAAATAATTTCAAAAATTTGCAAAAAGTTTTGTTCCACTAATTTTGTCAAATTGCTTCAAAATTTGAAAAAAAAATTTAAAATATAATAAATAACAATACAAGCCTTAAATAAGTGACATATGAAAACATTGTATTACGAAATAGAATTAGAGTTTTCGAAAAAAATTGAAATTGTAAATTTCTAAACTTTTTCAAATATTTAATCAATCCCCCCTTTTTCCCCTTTTTACCATTACAGGTCGCTTTAAGAAGTTTAGGCTATTCCGAAACCGCCACCACTGAAGTGTGCGCTGCCTTAGGTGTTTTAGCTAAATACGGTGTACTCGGTATGGGTGTCGGTTTGCCACACGCCAATGGTGCTCACACAACACTCGGCAGCTATTTGGGTGTATCCACGTTGGATCAGCAAACAGCCGCCGCCAATGCTGCCGCCAGTGCGAGCAATGTTTTCGGTGCCGTCGGTCAAGTCAATTTGGAACAATATACAGCCGCAGCTGCAGCCGCCGCTGCTGCGGCCGCCTCGCGTCCCACGCAAACACAATTGGATGTTGCAGCGGCTGCAGCCCAATTCGATCATTTCCGTCATTTAGGAAGTGCAGCTACAGCCGGTCAAGCTGCCACACCCGTGTCATTGAATAATAATAGTTTTGGTTTAACCGCTGCTACAGGTACCGCCACTACGGCACCCACATTGGGTGCCAATGCTGCCCATTCGTTGAGCAGTCTGAGTAAGAGTCCCACACCGGGTGATTTGGGTGCCAAGGATACCAAAAATGTGGAAATTCCTGAAGTTATTGTAGGCGCTATCTTAGGTGGGCCACGTTTTTATTATCCTTACTAAAAACAGACAGACAAACAAGCAACAACAAACAAGCAATATAAAAATATCCCAACTATTGCCTAACCTAGAGTTTTTCTCCCATTTCCCTTTTGTGTTTCTTTGTTAATGCAAGATATAAAGCTCAAATTTTTTTTAGTTTTTTCTTAAATCCCTTAATATGTTTGTTTGTTTAAAAAAAAGAAAAGGTTTTTTTCTTTACCGGGTGCCTGTTTTTTTGAAAAATATTTGTTTTATCTACAATTATTTTTTAAAACAACTTTATGTTTGTTAATTTGTTACACCATTTTTTTCTTAAATTAATAATGATTTTATGATTTGTTTGTAAGTGTATTGCAATTATTTTTATTTTATATTTGTATAATTAACATAAGTGCCTTTTTTATATATATTTAAACACTTTTACACTTTAGCCTACTTCATACTTTCTAAAAACATTCCTTTTTTTATTAGTTTTTAAAAGTTAAATAGAAATAATATAGTGACCTTGTGAGCTATATTTTAAGGAAACTAAACATTCCTTTTAAGGTTTTTCTTATTATTTTTATTTAGAAATTTAAATGGCCCTCTTTTGTTTAAGTTTAAAAGAAAAATATTTCAATGGTTTAAGTGTCTCAAACGATTACATTTCATTTTATTAATAACATATAAACAATTTTATGTTTTCTTTTTCACAATAACTTATTTTATTAGCTATTTTTATTTTTTGTTAATTTTTTTTTTATTTTGTATATCTAGTCAAGTTCTTGCCGCCTTAAAAAAATATTTCATTTTTCTTTAATTTTCACTGTACACTAAACACATTTATTAAAACAAACAATAACAAAAGAAAATAAGTAACAAACTACAAAACAAAAATCTCCAATTGAAATAGTGCAAACAAAAGACGTTCTATTTTCATTCAGAATATATTTTCCCATTTAAAAAGAAACTGTGATGTTATACATACATAAAAAATCAACAGCATTTGTCATTAAAATTGTAAACTAGTTTTTCCACACATTTATAAATATTTTCAGTTTCAGTTTTTTCATTTAATAACTTTTTTTTTAAACATTTTATTTTAAAAATTACAATTTGAACGTCTGTTTCTTTTATATATATTTTTTTTGAAGACAACTAGGCTGGTCCTTATGCCAATAATTTCTTCATTATAGAAAAAAAAGTTTTCAAACGGGACATTTTATTTTCATTTATTATTTTTATTAAAAATACCCCAAACATATTTACTTTATATATTTATGTAAAATATAAAATAAAGGGCGCAGCTTTATATTTAAAATATATTTTTATTTGTTTTAAAACAATTTGCTTTTTGTAAATGTTAACAATTCTAAATATGTTTAGTTTTTTTTTTAAAGAAAAGAGCGAGAACAAATGATGATGAAGTAAAGTTATTCTCATTTCTCACTCTTTTTCTTTAAACTAAATAAGTTTATTTTGTTAAATTTTGTAAGTTTAGTTTTTAGGCTTTCTTTTCTTTTCCTAAACCATTTATAAACTAACTATCATATACATTAACATTATGGTTTTTTGTTTAGGTGTTTTAATTATTAATTTTATTACTTTTAAGTTAAATTACTATAAACATTTATTTCATTTCTTTAATCCTTAAGGGATATTAGTGCAATTGGTTTAAAAGCTATTTTAATATATAAAAAAAATTTACAAAAAAAAAAACACTCAACTTGAAACATAAGTTGCTAAATATTTTCTAAACGAAAATTTTAAAAAAATATATATATAAATATACCTCAATTAAATAATAGTTTATAGTTTAATATTTCAAAAGACATTTTCTTTTAAAAGTGTTAAAATCATTAAAACAATTTTAAACATTCCCACAATTTTTTAAACTAATTTCTTAACTATCAAGCTAATAATAATTAATATACATTTTTTAAAATTATAAACAACACAATGAAAAAATTTCTCTTTTTAAAATACATACATACCTAACTACATATATATAAATATTAATAATCATAATAAAATTATTATAAAACTGAAATAATTCCAGGTCCAAATGGTCGTAGTTTAGTTGAAATACAACATGTATCGGGCGCAAATGTGCAAATTTCAAAGAAAGGTATATTCGCACCTGGCACTAGAAATCGTATTGTAACAATAACTGGTCAACCGAGTGCCATTGCTAAAGCTCAATTTTTAATTGAACAAAAAATCAACGAGGAGGAGACAAAAAGAGCGCGACAAATTCCATTAGCCACTGTTGTGAATTAAAAAACAAATTATTTATACCTAAAAAATATAAATATATATATAAATAATTATATATACATAAAAGAATTCTATATAAAAAAACACACACACACCTACACCTCTACATACATACATACACCCTTAATAATTTGTATAGAAATTTAATTTAACAACAATTGTTTTTAAACAAACAAAAAAAAAAAGAAATAATTTTTAAAATTCTTTCTGTAAAATCATTAACAAAAATTATTTATCTTCAAAAAAACAAAGTAATGAATCTAAGCAAAACATTCATTATTTTCCCCACAACTCCTCACACATGTAAGCATTACATACAAACAACTAATTTCATTAACAAACAATTAACAATATGAAAAAAATAAACAACAAAACGTAAAAAAACTTAGTAAAATATTTAACAAAATTAAAAAAAAAAAACAACAAATAATATTATATAGAAAACAAACAAGAGTTTAAAACCAAAACTTTTTAGATAATAATTATAATTTCAATATGAAAAAAATCAACAAAAAAGAAAAAAAATATTTAGTAAACAGTTTTTAAAGAAAAAATCTTAAACCAAGTTTTTTCCATAATATTATTACAACAATAAAATTATAAAACAGCCGTGTTAGTAAATTGTCAACAAAAACTTAATAAAACAAATAATTTTTAAACAAATTTCCCTTAAACCTTTAAAAACAAAGAAGAAGTAAAAAAAACCAAAATAAGAAAATTATTATAGAAACGTTAATAAATTATAAAACAAATTTTTTGTGAGTAGTTAAATAAATTTTATTATTTTCTTTTTTAAAAATACAAAAAAATCTAAAAAAACGCAAGGCAAAATAGTTGATTTTCTTTTTCAAACTCTGTCATTAAGTTTGTTTAAATAAAAATTTATACAATTTATAAAAATAAAATAGTTATTGTTAAAATAGTAAAATATTAAACTAGTTAAAAAGAAAAGTTTTAAAATATAAAACAAATCATTTAGAAATGTTTGCAAATTTATTTAACATAAAATTATAAAATTTAGTTTTATTAAGAAAAAAAAGTTTGAAAACTTTTGTTTTACAAATTTTTGCAACTATTTGCTAAATTTTAAAATTTTATAAGAATTTTATAGTTAGCTACAGCAGCTATAAATTGGTGTTAATAGTTTTTTATTATCAGTTTTTAAAACCGATAATAGAATATAAATAAAATATTAGAAAAAATTTTATATTTTTAAAAAAGTTGAAAAAACTTTTGTTCTACTAGTTTTCTTAAATTGCTTAAAATTTCGTATTTTTCTTAAAAATATAATAAACTTCAATATTGCCTAAAAGTTGGTGTCAATAGTTTTTTATTATCGGTTTTTAAACCAACAATAAAATGTAAATAAAAAACTAGGAAAAATTTTAATATTTTCAAAAAGGTTGAAAAAACTTTTGTTCTACTGTTTTCCACAATTTGCATTAAATTTCGTATAATTCTTAGAGTTATAGTAAACTTCAATATTGGATATAAATTGGTGTTAATAGTTTTTTATTATCGGTTTTTAAACCATCAATAAAATGTAAATAAAAAACTAGAAAAAATTTAATATTTTTAAAAAGTTGAAAAAAACTTTTGTTCTACTGTTTTCCACAATTTGCTTTAAACTTCGTATTTTTCTTAAAGATATGTTAAACTTTAATGTTAACTACAAATTAGTGGCAATAGTTTTTTATTATCAGTTTTTAAACCATTAATAAAATGTAAATAAAAAACTTTAATGTTTTTAAAAAGTTGAAAAAAACTTTTGTTCAACTAGTTTTCACAATTTGCTTCAAATTTCGTATATTTCTTAGAGATATAATAAACTTCAATATTTACTACAATTTGGAGGCAATAGTTTTTTATTATCGTTTTATAAACCAGCAATAAAATTTATATAAAAAACCAGAAAAAATTCAATATTTTCAAAAAGGTTGAAAAAACTTTTGTTCTACTATTTTCCACAATTTGCTTTAAATTTCGTATAATTCTTAGAGTTATGATAAACTTCAATATTGGCTACAAATTGGTGTTAATAGTTTTTTATTATCGGTTTTTAAACCATCAATAAAATGTAAATAAAAAACTAGGAAAAAAATTTTAATATTTTCAAAAAGGTTGAAAAAACTTTTGTTCTACTGTTTTCCACAATTTGCTTTAAACTTCGTATTTTTCTTAAAGATATGTTAAATTTCAATGTTAACTACAAATTAATGGAAATAGTTTTTTAATATCAGTTTCTAAACCATTAATAAAATGTAAACTGGAAAAAAATCAATATTTTCAAAAAGGTTGAAAAAAACTTTTGTTCTACTATTTTTCGCAATTTGCTTCAAATTTGGTATATTCCTAAAAGATATCATAAACTTCAATGTTAACTACAAATTAGTGGAAAAAGTTTTTTATTATCAGTTTTAAACCATTAATAAAATGTAAATGAAAATGTAAAAAAAATTAAAAAAAAACTGAAAATACTTTTGTTCTGCTATTTTTTTCAATTTGCTTTAAAATTTGATTTTTTTTTAAAAATATGATAAACATCAATGCTAACTACAAACTAGTGGAAACAGTTTTTTATTATCAGTCTTAAAACTACAAAAAAAAAAGAAAATAAAAATATATATTTTTATATAAGTTTTTCAAAAATATTAAAAATACTTTTGTTCAACTATTTTTGGTATTTTTGATTAAATTTTTGATTTATTTTAACGAAATTATTAAATCACCCTTTAAGCTGTAAATACACAGCTGCAGATTTTAAATATCGCATTAAACTAATGTTAAAAACATAAAATTCTAAATGATTTGTTTTATTATTTCAAAAAACTTTTTATTTTGTTAAATACATCAAATTCTTTTCAGTTTTTGTTTTTCTCTTTTTAAATAGTGTAAATATTTATTTTTTCTTTAAAACTGTTTTAATTTTATTTGTTGTTTGTTTTCTGTTACAAAAGATTATAATTAAAAAAAAATGGAAAAATAATTCTATATATATTTAAAAGCCATAAAATAATAATTGTGTTAATACAAGAAAAAACAATTTAAAAAAAATGAATTTTAAAGTCCTGTTAATAATAAAAAATTTAAAGAAAAGCTTTGTATACAGCCCATATCAAGCCTAGGAAGCATGTGTTAGCCTAAGCTTTTGATTTGGATCTCAAACTGTATAGAAAAAAGACTTTGAAATTCATTTGTACCGAATATATATACAAAAATCAGGAATTTTTTTTGTTAATGTTAAATATTAATTTGTTTTTGTTAAATACTAGGTAAATATTTAAAGAAAATGAACGTTTTCAGCTTGAAACAAGGTAATTATTAATTTCTAAAAATAATTAATTATAGGCTAGTGAAATTTTTACCTTTTTAAATATGATGATTTTTGTTTTCTACCCTTTTGCAATTTTACTCTACCCAACCGTTTGTTAAATGATTTGTTAAATGTTTTATTAATTTATTTTTTATTATCTTTGTTGAATTTGTTTTTTTTTTCTTAATTAATTATTTTATTTTACAGCTGTTTTTGATGGTTTTTTTTAGCAAGAGCTGAGTGGCTTTTTTTGTTGAAAAAAATAATAATATATAATGGTTTGAAAAAAAAGTGGTAATGTGTTTTAAAAACGCGCTTAATACAAGTCTTCTCCTTATGGTTTGATTTTTTTTTTTAATTATTAATTTTATTATCGTTTTATTTACTATGATTGTGTTTTTATGATATTTTAATGCCAGTTGTTTTATGCCTTTTTTTGATTTCTCTTAAAGAATTTGCTCGTTTTGTATATAAAATTTAAATTTCCCAAATTTTATATATTTAATATAATTTTTCTTTTTTTTATTTTAATTAAATTACTACATATTTCTTTATAGTTTTAATAATAAGTTATTGTCTTTTACAACATCACATAATATTTTTGTTTAGTTTCTTTTTTTTATATAAAATAATTGTTATTTTTTTCTATATATTTTTTTTAATAATTTAGTCAAGTGCAATTTAAATAAATTGTTCTTTATTGTTTTGTATATATTTTCCATAATATTTTTTTTTTTCAAAATTTTAACTGCATACATCAAATAAGTTGAAACAAAAACAAAAAAACGAAAAGACAAATCACTTCCATTTTTATTAAATAAAACAAAACAAATAAATATCATAAATATTTCTTTAGTTTTTCGTTGTATTATACAAATTTAAATGTTTTGGACATCACATTATGCAATAAATAAAATTTTCTTTAATTATTTTTAACTTTATAACACATTTATGCCGAAAAAAAGCAACAAAAAAACAAAAATTATAATTCATTTATTTTTAATTCACTTTAGTTTAACTATTAAGTGCATTTTTAATTTCAAAAAAAAAAAAAAAATCTATAAAAAATTAAAAAAAAACATTTTAAAATTTTTGTTAAATTAAAAATAAAATTGTAATTTCTTTAAAACAAAAAAAAATTATTTTACAAACTAATAAATATATAAAAAAAAAATTAAACAAAAAATCTGTGTTTTTTATTTATTATTTTAAACCAACTACCCAAACAAACAAATAAAAAACAACTGCTCATCATTTTACATCAAATTTACCAAAAAAAGCGCCTCTTTTTATACCATTCACCACTTAAAAAAAGTCACTCAACTCAAAAAAACATCAAATCAACGTAATTATCTTTTTTAATATAAATAAAATTCAAAACAATTCAATAAACTTAACCTCAACCACAAAAAAAAGAACCATTAAATTTCAATTTCAATTCAAACTTTCATTATAAATTCAACAACTTCATGTAACTACTGAAAACGTTCATTTTAATTTAAAACTCAATTTAAAACAACAAGAAAAAGTAAATAAATATAATCTACTAATCTTCATAATTAAGTTACGGGTATTGTTAAAAATCTATAGATTTTAAGTTTTTAATTAATCATTAATTAATTTAAAACCATATAAAAATAATACTTTTCAAACCCCCTCCCCCACTTTTTTCTTTGCTGTTAATTTCTTTTTAATAGAAACTGTGTTAAATTTTAAAAATATCTAAAGTTTAAAGTTTTTAATTGTATTCTTATATTTTGTAAACAAACAAAAACAAAATAAATTAATAAATTGTGCAATATTTGTTGTGTTTTTTAAATAAGTTTTTCAAATAATAATAAACAAATATTTAACAATACAATAAACCTTATTATTTGTTTAAAAAAAATAATTTAATTCTGTTAACAAATCCCCTCCCCACAAAAACCACAAGTTTTAATAAATAAATGAAAAAAAGTATAAAAAAAATTATAATTATAAATAATTAAATAATAATTTATATGCTAGTGTGCCTTGATTATTAACTATGCTTAAAATAATATTTTAATTATTTATAAACAAAAAAAAGATAAAAAAAAACAAAAAAATTTATTTCTACCTTTTCTTCTGT